GTTATTTTACGGTGATAATCTTGTTTTCTTGTGCCCAATAATGCATAATTTCATTTGATAAACACGTTTAGATCGAATGGTAATTTATAATCAGTCACAAGAACGTCGAATCTGAATCACTTGAAAAAAACACGGGGGTGCTTAACTTTTTTCCAGGTGTATATTTAGCTCTTAGCTCAATATTAGTGCTCTACTTTCATGTAACAACCAGGACGAGAAGAAAGTATGACTTTCTTTTTCGGTACTGGCATCGAAGAGTGAAAAACGATCATGTCCTGTTCAAACTATTAGATAGTAACCCAAGAAGGAATACAAATGAAACCGAAAAGCTTAAACTCTTAATGTATTATCCCTCTTATATTTCTTACGTGTACACGTTAAGATGTTAGAAACTTTGTATTTTTTTTTATTCCTTGAGCCAATCAAATTAGACTGATAAGTTTCTAGGAAATAAAAAAAAGTGTTTTGCTTTTGAAACTTTCAGGTTATCATAGTCCTCAGACACATGATAAACATGAAAATCTATCATTATTAAAAACAACAAACATAATGCTGCGCGGTATTATTTAAAACGTGATAACTGGATACATTGTTTTGTGTATTTAATGAAGATTATGATTTTTCATCGCTGCTTTAAAAATCCGATTTGTTGAAAAGATAAAATAAAACAATTTACGACATACTATCCTTATTTGTTGTTATAATTATTTGACGTTTAAGACCATAAGATGTAAATATATTCAAATTAATTTGCAAAACTTTGGCTAGGTTTTTAACATTTAAGTACATTTTAAATTTTGTGACATTTAATTTTTAACATTCTCTATTATATTTGGATAGTGTTTATTTGTTAACTAAAAACTCGTCCCCATAATCACTTTCACTGTTACCAAAGCTAAAGAAAGATTATATGTACTGTTACGTCTCTGGTCGTTTGTTAATTTCCCGTAAAAATTCTTTCCGAAGAACTTCAGGCGATACAAGTCCTTTCTTAAATAAAACTAGTTTATTCTTTTTCAATTCAACTTTGCAATACACTTAATTTCCACAGTCACTTTAACTTAAACACATGATATAATTCACAATGGTTTACACACTTTACTTACAGCTTGACTCGATTATCCCGTTACCAATTTATCTCCCGGCTTATTTACTAAAATAGAGAGGGCCTAGAAAAGACTAGAGTTGCGAGGAACAGTTATGATCTTTCTACAAACTCCAGCGCGCAGGCTCCCAGCTTTGCGTGACTTCCGCTGTCGTAACACTGCCCCTTCCTTAGTATTGTTCATCCCGAACAATAGCCACTTATATTAAACCAATAGATAATTAACAATAACTTGATTAAATGCACAGAATTTACAAACACAAAATTAAAATACAACAACATCTCCTAATTTTACAGGACGTATCTTTTTCCATACTGGTCTCCGTCTCATTGACTTCTGATTCACGTGGGGTTCATCTGCTCTATCAGGAAATGTCCCATTATCACTAGCAGTCACATCAGTGGTAGTAACTTCATCAAGGGCTTCACTGTTTTCCTTCTCAAAACCGGGTAGAGTTTCTTCTTCAACAGTGGCTTTTTCAGGTGACACGTCTTCAGCAGCATCATTTGTTCTGTTGTTCATTTGTTCCAACTGAAATGTCTGGACCGTGATAACGCCAAAGCCTGTTGGCATGCACCACCTTTGGCTTACCTCGACGACCACATTT